TTCATTGAAGAATGTCATTGAGATTTTTATGGGGATGGCATTAAATCTGTATATTGCTTTTGGCAGGATGGCCATTTTGATGATGTTAATTCTCGAGATTAAAACCTTTTTGATTCATCAATCAAAAAAGATAAACTCTTGCCATTTGTGGCAACATGGATAGAGCTGGAAGGGATCATCATGCTCAATGAAATAAGCCAGAAAGAAAAGGAAAAATACCAGATGGTTTCACTCATAGCAGGAGTGTAAGGGATAAGGGGGAAAAAAAAAAAAAGCAATCATAATAAAGTAAAAACAAAAATCAATGAACAACTATAAACCAGAGACATTCTGTGGGGGAGGAAAGGGGAATAGGACCAAAGCTGGGGTGGGAAGAGTGCACTGGACTATGGTGATAGCACATGAGTGAACTGGTGGTGGGAAGTCCACAGGGATTACAACCGAGATGAAAAAATGTACAAAATGAAGAATGATGAAAAAAAAAAAAATACACACACACACACATATATAATAAAGTATTAAAAATAAATAAAACTTTTGGGGATAGGTCCCAACTACCAGAAACCTATTTATAAAGGTACTCTATGATATCCAAAGTTTTATATCCACTTTTTAAAGTGATATAAAATTATAGATTGGTATAGATTACATGTAAAATATATTAATTCTTATGTAACTCAGACAATACTATGAACCATAGAAACTGTTCTATGTCAACTTTTTGTCTACTTTTTTTCTACCAGATTTGTCTCTGGTCATACACTGGATTATTGTAGCTATAGTGGTTCAGGACATTTTTTTTTTTTAAAGATTTATTTATTTGTGCATACAGAACTGGGGTACAGGCCAGAGGCTCAGGGGTGGTGAGAGACTTCACCAGAGACAGAGTGGGGAGCAGAACAGGCAGATCAACGAAGTGCACTGCTGAGGGGAGCAGCGGGTGGGTCAGGAGAGGTCTGCCACCCCATGTGGGCACCTCCTAGGCAGGCGGGAATTGAACTCATGCGGAAGTGGCTTCAGATTCTCAGTGCTGTGCTTTAACCCGCTGCGCCACCAGGGAGGGCCAAGGTTCAGGACATTTTAAGGAAATGTTAGACTAGCTAGGAAAGTTAGACTTAAAAAAAAATACTTAGTTAATAATACTTCTATTTAGCTTAAACATCAAATATGGGATCCCATTTGTATGAACTTATGAAACTGTGCTTGGTGTTCCTCCGAAGGAAAACTAGAGTTACATTGTTTTTTCGGAAGGAGAAATAGCAGTGAAACTGCTAAGGAGGTAGGTCTATGCTTACATACTCAGGAAACAATAACAGATGTCTAGGAAAGCAGTTATACAGAGAAATATAAGCTTTAGGAGGGCAAAATAAAGCAAAGCCAATTAAAATTTGTTATGGGGAGCATGAATAAATTTTCCTAGAAGAACAAGATAAAAAGAAACTTAAGTAAATCAGAAACATAAATATGACCCAGGAAATTTTATTTTACCCTGTCATAAACAAGCTCATATGAAAAATACAAATTACATCTAATATTATTGTCTTGTTTTCTAATATTATTCTCTTACTTTTGAGATGACTTTAATTCCCAATTCTGGGGCTCTCCCTGGTGGTGCAACAGATTAAAGCACCGCATTATGAAACTCTCTGCAGCCACTGCAGCACAAGTTCAATCCTTGTTCCCAGAGGTGATCCACATGGCATGGCAGACCTCTCCTGACCCTCCCGCTGCTCCCCTCAGTAGTGTACTTTGTCAACCTGCGTGTTCTGCACCCTACTCTGTCTCTGGTGAATTCTCTCACCCCCCACACCTCTGGCCTGTACCCCAGTTGTAAGCATAAATAAATAAATCTTTTAAAAAATGTTAATTCCCTATTACTCAGCAACCAAAAAAGAGAAACACATGTCTTTTGCAGCAACTTGGATGGAACTGGAAAAGATCATGCTTAGTGAGATAAGCCAGAAGGAGAAAGAAAAATACCGGATGGTTTCACTCATAGCAGGAGTATAATGGACCAGGTGGAAAATAACAAAAATAATGAACAACCATATACCAGAGACATTTTGTGAGGGTGGAGTGGGGAATGGGATCAAAAACGGGGTGAGGGGAGGGAAATGCACGGGATTATGGTGATGGCACATGGGTGACTTGGTGATGGGAAACCCGCGGGGATTACAATTGAGATGGAAAAAAAATGTACAAAATGATGTAAAATGAACTTTTGTAATAAAAAAAATGTTAATTCCCAATTCTCAGGAATATATACCTACCTTCCTTCTGAGGTGTATTGCTAGTTCTCTCCTCTTGGCTATCAGGGCATGGTAAAACACTTTAGATCTTAAATTCATTAACAAATCTACCTTCTGTGAAGATGAAATGAATTTACATATTTTTAGGAAAGCTGTTGCAGACTTTCAAGGTATCCTTTGTAATTCTTGCTCTTGGGAACCTTGTTAGACTCTATTCCTCCTCCAGTAAATGTTTCAAGTACAAGCCTGAATGTCATCTGTGACAACTGTATAACTTTAATCGGAAAGAGGAAGAGCCACACAAGGTAGGTCAGAGAGAAAATGGCCAAGTTCCAAACAAAAACAGCCCTCCTACTTCCTAAATAGCACGGAGCCCTCTCTAGCACTATGAAACAATTCGTGACTTAGACTCAGTGTAACATCCAGTTAGGAAGACGTTTCCTTTCTTCCACATAAGGATATGTTTGTGAGGAAACAGAAAACAAGGAGTATCTTCTTTAAAAAAGGATAAAGAGAGTAATAAATTAACTTCTAAGTACCATACATCTGGAATATCCAAAAGTATATAGAAAAGAATCAAGGAAAGGTAGCAAATATCAGAAAAATAAAAAGACCAGAATACACAAACATAAAAGGAACTGAGAAAATCCAAGTGAAAGCATAAAAAAGTGCTCTATGAATTTTTTAAAATTATAAAGTACTCTAAAGACAAAGCACTTAAGGGCAGATGAAGAACCTCCTATAATAATCATCAGAATCTGAATAATAAACTTAAATAGTCCCCTTGGTACACTGTAAAGTATGCAATTTTAATTATGTGATTTTTCAGCTAATTTCTGCTTCAAAAACAGCAAAGTACTTCTGCTTACAAGGTGGCAGAGACAAGAACTTTTCTGAACCTCTCATATGTACACTGTCATCAAAATTTAAATTAGCAGAAACATGCCTTTGAGTTAAATCATAATTTGCCCTTAGATCTATTTACTGAGAACCCACTATGTGCCAAACACTGGTGGCATACACTAAACAACAATGCATTTGTAAAGCACTTTTCCCTTTGCAGGTTCTCACAATTGACATTTTAAAACAAACTGTATTTGTTATTCAGCATTAACTGCATGTGCTGTAATATATCTATCATTATTAATTGCTCCTACTCAGGAGAGGCTTAGCTTTTCAAGACAAAATACATCCAGTTGTGCTTGTGAATATATACATATTTTGCATAGTTATGAATGAAAGTCAATCAACAGTGGTAAATACAAACAGATTGTCTGAGAAAATAAAACAACAGTTTGGGGTAAAAGAAATTGCACATTTATCAGAAGATGTCCACAAATAATTAATTACTGGAACACAATGATAATATTCTCTTAATGCTAGAGTCTCTTAGAAGAGTATACTCATTACTTTCTAACCATCTGTCATCACTCCTCCCCAAAAAACTAATTAGGGTTTCATCCAATCACACATTATAAATCATGCAAATGTAGATGGCCAAAAACACAATTTAAAGAAATTAACATTATAACATTTTGTATTTTAAAAATCAGAGGATTAGCAACTAGCCTTTCTGATTTCAGTAATTACCCTGCTTATTTTTCTCATCTTTTTCTGGTTAATTATTTAACTTAGAAAACTGAAATTAAAAAGAACTTACAGGTAGTAGAGTTTTCCTGCAGCAGGAAGTTCCCTTTTCCGGTAATCTATCCCAGAATCGAGTTGGACCGTATTACAGTACTTCTACAATTCAAACACATAAAATATTTTTTTAAATAAGTGGGGGCATAGAATTATAATCTTTCTGCTATTCTTTATTTAACTTTTGAATCTATTTTCAGTGAAGTAATGAACTCAGGACAAATCAATAAAACTCACAGAAAAGTCATCTCAATTGCAATATTAAACACACATCAAACCATATCAGTTTTAAAAAGCTAAAATTGATAGCATTCCTCCCTGAAATTTTGCTAAAACATTGCTGTCAGCAAAGTCCCCAAATAACTGCACTGGAGTTTTTTTAAATCCCAATTTCCACAACTCTGAAATTGGAGATTGTCAATAAGGATAATTCAAAGGTCTCTAAGCATCATGTTGGGAGGGAGACTGTTGAAAAGAGCTGCACCAGAACATTATGATCCACTTCTGAAGTCAAATGACCATCCGAAAGTGATGTATAGGTTTATCTGACCTTCACTTCTAAATGACTGACAAAGCCCTTGTTCTTACTTTCCTACCCCACCATAGTGTTTAGAATTCTTTCCTTCTGCAGAAAATTCCCTTCAACTTGAGTCTTCCCAATTTCTTTCCTTTCTATCCCCCCAAGATGCATATGGGCATGGAAACACCACATACACACTTCTTCAGAAACAACAGAACTTTGGCTGTACCTATCTGGCCAGTCCCAGAGTTGTTTTGAGAAAAGAGGAAATAGATATTTATTTTTTCATTCCAGTAGAACAAGGGCAAACAAGGGTTTCAGTGCAATTCAAAAGACATTTACAGAGTGACTTTTATGTTTTTGTTCAAAATGAAAAATGCTTTATGAAAACTCATCAGGAAAAATTAGATTTCAACATTACTAGTTTTATTAATGAAAAAAAACTGTATTTTGGGGTTAAGGTAATTGTGGTGGATTGTATTTTTTAAAGATGATTACAATTCTCTGTCCCAACATGTTGTAACACCAACATTCCAACCACCAAGAAGGACCTCTCCTATCCCTCCTCTTGAATCCTGTGGCTATGAGGAAAAATCACACTATGCATCAACACCCAATATTACATTCAAATCAGTGACTTACTCATTGGTCAGAACACTCTCTCTGGAACCCTGAACTACCAAGTTAGCATCGAACATGGCAACGACGCCATGAGAGAGACTGAATCAGCCCACACAGAAATGACCAGGAGAGTTCTTCTGTCTTCATGAAGACAGAGACGTCTGATCAACCCGTTGTTCCAGTTGTAGCTATTATCTTATCAAGGGAGTCAGAATTGCTAGGCAAGCTATTTCAAATCCCTGAACTACAAAAACTAGAAGAGATAATAATGTTTTAAGCCTCAAAATGGTCATTTTCTATGCGGCAATAGATCATCAGACTATTAATATTTGAGCACACCTGAGATGTAGCAAGATTTCCTGAAATTTCATCCTGGATTTTCCTGCTATGCAAGGGCTGGGGGGCTGTTTACCTGTGCTGTAAGGACTAGGTATACAAAGCAGCAGCAATGATACATTTCCCCTTCTCTGTGCTACAGCTACTTAGGGGCTCAAGGAAGTAAAACAGTCCCCTAGGACTGAGAGGTTTCCCCAAAACTGAGGGATTTCTCTGGATGTAGAACTTTTAGTGCGAAGACCAGGACAGTCCTGGGCAAAACTGGCACTGTAAATCACCTGAAGAGTGAAGACTCTAGGCTGAAAGGCTGGAATACATATAGCCTTTTGAGTTATATACTAGCAAACATGTATTTAATACTGTACAAGATGAAGCTAGCCCTCTGAGGAAAGCTGTTTTTTGAACTGGACCTAGGAATCATGCCACTCTATAAGGCTTTACCTGAGCTACCAGTGAGCCACCCCATACATCCCTAGCTAATCACACGGTCCCAGAATCCATCTCACCAGAAAGGAAAATAGCATCGCCCAAATGTATGCTCTCCACTCTCCTCTTGATTCAGATGACCTGTTTTTAAAAAGTGTTATGGCATAGCTTTCTTCTTCTCAACTTTGAGTAATGAAGTAAACTTAAGAAAGGAGATTCTTCTTCTTCCTTGCTCCTACAACAATTGTGGGGGCTTAGTACCCAGCACAAAAACAGAGATGCATTTGTCTAAGTAGCATTTCTTACTCTCTGTCTCTGAGGGAAGTCTGTCCTGGTAAGGTAAGAACCAGGTATTCATAAAGTACCTGTACCATAGATGACGTATTAAATAGAATAGCAATATGTTTATATAAATGTGTTGCTCCAGGTTCTCCATTTCTTTTAAACTACAGTTTATCTTATATGACTCATATTCCTAATTTAGTCAAAAATCTTTCTTCTTCTTTTTTTTTTTTTTTTGCTGTTACAAAAATATGACTAATGGAAGTTATACAAGCTTCAATTTCTCTTTCTGGGTAACTAACTTCTCTCTTTTATGAGTGATTAAGCCCTACTAAATGATTGCATTTGTACATTCACTAATCACCACAAAGGAATACCTAATCAGCAGCAAACGAACTATAACCAAAGCCCTTAGATGTTAGCTCCTAATTGTCTGAAAAATACTAACACTCAGTTTGTATTTTTAAAGAAAAATAAACCTCAAATTTTCAAATTTTATTCACTTAAGCTAGATCCCTCAAAACACTTTTGCAAAAAGATGGAGGATGGCAAAAGCTAAGCAATTTCTAAGTTGAGAATGAGTCCAGTCAAAAGCGTATGACCTCTTAGTAACTTCCTAATTTCCAGGGATAAGACCCATGACTTCTTATCATCATCCAATTCAGATGCATGAAACCTATCAGCTGTCAAATAGAATTTATTTTAAAATAGTTTGTGTAGGGCCCTTCCTGATGGTGCAGCAGGTTAAAGCACAGCACAATGAAGCTGTCCGTAGCTACTACAGCATGAGTTCAATCCCTGGCTAGGGAGGTGACCCACAGGGTATAGCAGACCTCTCCTGCCTGCCTGCTGCTCCCCTCAGCAATTTCTTTCCATTGATCTGCATATTCAGCTTCCCACTCTGTCTCTGATAAATCCTCACACCCCTGCACCTTTGGCCTGTACCCCAGTTCTTCTTTGCATAAATGTATCTTTAAAAAATAAATTAGTTTGTGTATTTATGTATACAGAGAACAATTACAATTATACAATCCAGAGTGCAATCTGGAAATTTAGGGAGGAAAAGGAGGAAGGATAACACATCCTTGGGAACATAGTCATGAGTCAACAAGCTTTGAGTTGGGAAAGAAAAATTCACTACCCAAAGAGTCACACTTCATCGGTTTGCATTCTCCTCAAAATTTATTGTGTACATTTTTAGCAATTCTAAATAATATCATTAGGAAAACAACCTTCTCACAAAATATCTATGTCCTGTTTCTCTTCTGTTTTTTTTTCTTCCCAATTGGAACAAAAAAAATATTCTTCAAAACCTTAACAGAGGAGTCCAGCAAAATGGTAGCAAAGTGAATATGATTGGTTCACCCTCTCCATATATTCACAACTAAATTTCAAAGAATAAAGTCAATAAGCCCTGAAAGATAAAAAGATGACTAGAGAAGGAATCAAGGGCAACAGTTCAGCAGAAACGGGTAGGAAAATCTGTAACTGAAGAGTATTTGCAGTGATACTGGAAAAATATGAATTTACATTCCCACCAACAGTATAAAAGAGTTTACTCTTCTCCACATCCTTGTAAACTCTTGTTAATTCTCATCTTGATATTAGCCATTCTAACAGTTATGAAGTAATGTTGTTATAGTTTTGATTTACATTTATCTGGTGATTACTGATGTTGCACATCTTTTCATATACCTACTGGCCATCTGTATATTGTCAATAGAAAAATGTCTATTCAATCTTTCCATTTTTAATTGGATGTTTGGTTTTTCTTTTTTGAGTTATGGGTTCCTTATAAGTTTTGGATAGTAACCCCTTGCTAGATATGTACTTTTGCAAGTATTCTCTCCCATTTAGTGGACTGACTTTTCATTTTGTTGACCATTTCTTTTGCTGTGCAGAAGCTTTTTAGTTTGATGTAAGCAACTTATTTATTTTGGCTTTTATTTCTGTGCCTTTGTGCCTTTATTCAAGTAATTGTGGCAAAGACCCAAATCAAAGGAGTTTTGTCCCTATATTTGCCTCTGTGAGTATTGTGGCTTCAGGTCTTATGTTAAATCTTTAATATATTTTGAGTTTCTGTAAGTGGTGTAAGACAGGAGTACAATTTCATTCTTCTGCAGGTGATCCTCCAGTTTTGCTAAGACTTACTGATGAGACCATCTTTTCCTTATTGGTATCCCAAATATTAGTTGACAGTATATTTCTGGGTTCTCTATTTTGGACTGTTTTACTTTTATTCCTTTACCATATTGTTTCAATCAATAGCTTGGTAATATAGTTTGAAATCAGCACATTAATACCTCCAGTTCTGTTCTTTCTCAGGATTGCTTTGGCTATTAGGAGACTGTGGTTCAATGCTAGTTTTAGCATTTTTCCCCCCAATTTCTGTGAACAATGCCCTCAGAATTTTGATAGAGCTTGCACTGAATCTCTTTGGGTATTACTAACATTTTAACAATATTAATTATCTGATCCATGAACACAATATATCTTCCCATATGTGTCTTCAATTTCTTTCATCAATCTTAAAGTTTTCAGATCCTTAGTTACACTTGTTCTCAATTATCTTGACATTAATACTATTGTAAATATGATTGTTTTCTTTCTTTCTCAGATATTTCATTGTTAGTATATAGAAAAAAATAATTTCCATGTGCTATGTTTTTGTGTACTGAATTTGGAATTTATTAAGTAGAACAGTTTTTTTAGTGGAGTCTTTTCTTGGTTTGTGATATCATCTGGAATAGAGTTTTACTTTTTCCTTTCCAACTTGGCTAGCTTTCTTATTTCTTTTTTCTTTCCTAATTGCTCTGACTAGGACTTCCAGTACTATATTAAATAGGAGGAGTGAGAGCATGCACCTTGTTACTGAGAAATAAGGAAAAGTTTTCAACCTTCCACTACTGTGTCTGAT